TAATGGGAAGTGCATTGAATTTATAGATTGCTTTGGGTAGTATGGACATTTTAATGATGTTGATTCTACCAATCCATGAACACGGTATGTTCTTCCATCTGTGTATGTCTTCCTCTATATCTTTTTTCAAAGTCCTGTAATTTTCTGAGTAGAGGTCTTTTACCTCTTTAGTTAAGTTTATTCCTAGGTAGCTTAATTTTTTTGGTGCGATGGTAAACGGGATTGTTTTTATAATCTCTCTTTCTGAAAGTTCACTATTGGTGTATAGAAATGCCTCAGATTTCTTGGGGTTAATTTTGTATCCTGCTACATTGCCAAATTCATGTATTAAGTCTAGTAGCTTTTTGATGGAGTCCTCTAGGGTTTGTATGTATAATATCATGTCGTCAGCAAATAAGGACAGTTTTACTTCCTCGTTTCCAATTTGGATGCCTTTTATTTCTTCTTCTTGCCTAATTGCAATGGCTAACACTTCCAGTACTATGTTGAACAGGAGTGGTGAGAGGGGGAACAATAGAAACTTTGGATTAGATGCCAGTAAATCTGGAAAACGGGCATTTGTTGAATGACCAGAGAAGTCACTGAGGCAACTAATTTATAAAATTAGAATAATTAGCAATTTCTTCTATTTATAGTATTAATTTCCTAGATTTGGAGAAATGAACCTATTATATTCAGGAATTGTTTTGTATACTAGATTCTGATATTAAATTAATTTCAGATTCTTTTAGTGACCCCTACACGCACTTTGAAAGAGTTGTGAAGGCTCTCCTGATCAATGCTTTAGATGAATCATTCCTGGGGACATTATATGGTAAGTTAATAATATGAATGCAACAATTTTTTTCCTAATTTTTAAACCACCATATATATTGTATAAAAAAACACAGGAGACCCATCCGTAGGGCCCTCCAGTTATTGTTCCCTCTAAAATCAACTGTACAAAAGTCCACTCAAAAACTTGTTTATTATTTGAAATGTGGACAAGACAAAAGAAACAATGTGACAGCTCCCTGATCTTAGAGCATTCACTGTGAATTTGAAGATATAGGATATGTACTCTTAAAATAGCAGAGTAGTTCAACACTCATGTGTTGTCCCAGCCTCTGTAGGCTCCTTGAATTTCACCAAAAGTGATGCTGGTTTAAGCTTGTGTGCCTTTGCTCATGCTGATCCTCCCTAGAATATAATCCCTTTCTACCCTAGATTGTCCAGGTGGATGTGAAATCATTTTCACTATTAAAGCTATCTATGACCTACTCAAATAGTACTTGTCACTCCCTCAGTTGTGCTGTCATTATACTGAGTATGGTGGTACTGATGTGTGTGTACTTCTCATACTTGTGTTGAAAATTTATTTTGCCTTTCTCCCTTTCAATACCATGAGAAGCATACCTTATGTTTATATACTAATCTCTTGCATCTAGCACACTATATAAAGACTATAAATATGTTCTGTTGAATTATCTATCTGTGTGCCAAAATAAGGTTTTATTCATAGTTTGTTGAACAAGTATTTGTTGAGAGCCGACTAAGGGTCAGGCGTTATTTGAGAGCTGGAGATATGGCAGTGACTATGACATGAGCTTCCTGCCTTCATGTTGCATAAAGTCTAATGGAAGAGACAGACAATGAGTAAACAAATATATAACATAATATTTGTTCTTGGAGGGAAAAGGATAAAGATACGAGAGTGATAAAGAAAAAGAAAGTCTAAGTTAGTTAGATTGGTCAAAAAAGATGTCTCAAGAGGTGACTTTTGGACAAAAAGCTGCAGTGAGGGAGGACACAGTAGAGAGCACAGCAGTTAAAGACCCTTAGGAAAGACTCCGTTTGATGTGTTCAAGGAACAATTAGAAGGCCTGGGTGGTTCTTTCCTTTCCATAATGCTCTGATGGAATGATGTTTTTCACATTATTAACATTTTATTTTAATTTAAAATGCTTCTAACCAACTAACCTAGAGCTATGGAAAGAAATCCTTAAATAGTCAGTTATTTAAATGTTTCACAGGGGCAAAGTGATTGTTGTTGTTTTTGTTGTTGTTGTTGTTTTGTGGTTATTCCCCTGAACAGATCACACCAGGCAGAAATCATATGCACGAGAAATGCTGACATCTCTTGATTATTTGGACAATCACTTTGTTCAGCCTCGTCTGGAGAACTTATTCTCTAGGAGTCGTTGGAAAGAGCAGTATAAGGTACACAGGTTTGTTTGTTTTTGAATCTCTGGAGGGTGGGGGAGAGTGGGAGACCTCTCAAGATTTCAGTGTTCTGTTGGGCTGAGCAGACTTCTCAGTTATTAGCATTTTTCTTTCTTAAATAATGAGCTGCTTGTTTCTGACCACTTCTAAAGGCTATTATTGTTTTAATTATTCAGTTATCTATTCAATAATTAAGTGGCTCTAAAAGATGAATAACTTTAGAACATCTTTAGTGCTCATCCCATGTTTTAAAATGAGGAGGTTGTTATCCTGGCCAATGTGGCTCAGTTGGTTGTAGTGTCATCCCTTACGAGAAAAAGTCATGGGTTCGATTACCCATCAGGGCACATGTGGGTTGGGGGTTTGGTCCTCTGTCGGGGCATGTACCAGAGGCAGCTGATTGGTGTCTCTCAAACATCCATGTTTCTCTCTCCTCTCTCCCTCTCTCTCTCTCTCTCTCTCTCTCTCTCTCTGTTCCCCCTGCCCCCCCTCAAAAAAAACCCATTTTTTAAAAATTCTTCACTCGAGGATATTTTTCCATTAATATTAAGAGAGAGTGGAAGAGAGAGGGAAAGACAGAGAGAAACATCAATGTGAGAGAGACACATTGATTGGTTGCCTCCTGCACGAGCCCCAACCAGGGCCAGGTCCAGGGAGAAGCTTGCAACCAATGTACGTGCCCTTGACTGGAATCAAATCCGGGATCCTTCAGTCCACAGGTCGGTGCTCTATCCACTGAGCAAACTGTCTAGGCCCCCCCCTCCAAAAAAAAATCTTGAACATGTCCTTGGGTGAGGATTTAAATAAATACATAAATAAATAAATAAATAAGGAGTTTATCTCATAGGATGTTAATTATTGTTTCAGAAAAGAAATTGTTTAAAAAGTTTAAGAAACAGTGGGTTTAACTTAACTGGAGGACTTTTCAATGACATTAATGTGATAATTTCTACTGTAAATCCTCAAGGGAGCCATGTAGTATGTAAAACTTTCCATATTGTGTTTTACTCTGAGACTCCTTATTGTGGAGTACTTATACCTCCTAGGAAAATTGGTTTCCATAATGCAATTTGGGGATTACAGCCTAGGTTGTCTTTAACATCCCCCACCTCAAGATTTTGTATTTCTACCAATTTGAGTAAAGCATCGTTTTAATTTATAAGATTTATTGGATTCCATGTTATCCTCTAGATTTCTTTATGATCTCTAATAGTAGAGAGTGCACTAATGAATTTTAAGGTTTCTTTTCTCTCTCTACTTCTAACATTCTATCTCTAATAATTGTTAGCAAGAGGAAAATGGCAAGATAAGTGAGGTTCAAGTTCCCTCACATCCTTCTAGCACTGAAATCATTAGCTACTCGACCTCATTTATGTCAGGAGATTTGGCTTCTCTCAAAGCCTGTTCAGCCTTGAATTACCTAATGATAAATTAGACACAGATGTGTTCAGTTAAAAGACAGTTATAGGAAGAAAACTTTAATTGAGTTTAGGGTATCTTTTTGACTTTCAGTATTTTTAACCTCTCTAAACTCCAGTTTCTTCCTCAGATCCAGAAAATATTTACCTACTTTAAAGGGAAATATTTACTTACTGGAAGGTAAAGCAGGTAGTACAACTCTTAGGACATGATATAAATATTTATTCTTTAATAGAAAGAAAAACAGCATGACTATTTGTTCCTTTAATTTTGCCAAATAATTTACATGCAAAGTAAAGTTTCTTATTCTATCTTCAAAGTTAACCCCCTGAGGAAGGCACTATTATTTCTTCCATTAGAGATGAGGAAACTGACTCAGAAAAATCGAGTAAGATTATAGATCAAATAATGAGCCAAACCAATAAATATGTAAACCTAGAAACCTCATGTTTCTAGGGTTCCTCTGACTCCAAAGCCCATACCCCTGTGCTGTATTATGCCTGACCCCATATGGTAGGCTATGCTGCATTTGGGTAACCCAGTGTTTGAAATAAGTATAAGATACAAAAAAAGAGTGCCTTAAAAATGTAGAGACACAGATGATTCTGTGTGATCTTGGTCAGGATAAGCTAGGTTATTCTATAAAAATCAAATAACATGACAAAAGAAACCCACAACACAATCTCAATAGCTTAATCCAACAGTTTGTGTTTCACTTACCTTGGTTGTCCAGTGTGAGTCAACAGGAGTGCTCTGCCTGCCGTCCTCTCTCAGGGAACTAAGCTGATAGAGCTTTCTGCTCATTATGTGCTTCCTGACTAACACAGAGGCAGGGAGGGAAGGTGCTTAGTCACCTATTCATTCTGCATGCCAGCCTGTGAGGGACATGTGTCATGAAGTGTCATGAAATATGAGAAATAGTGAAGGTAGACAAAAGGCCCTGTTGTTGTGAATCATCCAATGGAAAGAGAAAACTATTCGTCTGCTGGGTGCTTAATTAATAGAGAATGTGAAAGTGGCTTAGTAACCCTGCTAATATGGTCCTCGTGTACAGTTCAAATATTGTGGTAAAACCTAATCTATACTACTGATTAGAACAGTAATATCTAGCGGGCCTAGAGCACAAGCAAGAATACTCAAGCACAAGTAATTTCACAGCTTAATAAAGCTTATTTATGAATGCCAAGCATTTTCTACTTGTTTACTTACTGCTTACTCAGCTATTCCACTGTCCACATCAACACTGACCATCTAGCAATCCTAGCTCCAAGTTGTTTATTTTGCAGTACTTTAGTAAGCAACCAAAGGAGGATTAAAAATATTTCTGTAATATTTTGTGGAAAGTATGATATAATTCACACAATGGGGACTAAATGTGATCTTGGGTTTTTTTTTTTCAGTTGTTGACTTACCTAAACCTTTTATTATATTGTGAATTTTTGCTGCTCATTATTTCCTATCTTTAACTAATAAATACCTCATTAACATTAACTAGAGATGAGAGGAAGGAAAAGAAATACATCTTGTGAAAATCACAACTTAGTAACTTATAAGTGTGAGGGATATAACTGATTTATTTTCTAGTCTGGTTTCTTTCCATTTAATAGTCCTAATTTTAAATTTATTTTTCTATTGTAAAAAATCCCTTGTCACACACTTACTGTGTGCTCAGTATTAAAGTTAGAAATACCAATGTTTTGCTCTTACATCTCATCCTGTTATGATTCCTAAAATTGGTTCCATTCTTTTTATGTTGTTTTTGTTGTCCTCATTCTAATCCTTTAAAGCTTAATTACATCTTTTGTTTTCAGGAGCGGGTCGGAAGTTATTCTGATGTGAACATCTCTCCAAAGAATGCTAAAGACTGTTCCTGCCAGGCTTGCGGGCTTCATCGCCACTGTGCATATTTAGTGAGCTTATCAGGGAAGCAGTACAACCCCAGGACTATGAAAACTGATGATTTCATGCCATGGGACAAGCAGGTATTTTCCCTTCATTTCAGTTTTCAGTATTTGGGAATTTTAAATACATAAGCTTGCACAAATAACCTAAAGTTATTTTTACAAATGGAGAAAGCACTAGGTAAAGGGAAAGGGGTACAAGTTTTGAATATGAAAAATATGTCTTATAAGCAGATTCACTCCTAATTCAGTAAAATACTAAAATCCCTGCATATTCTCTAGGTACAGTAAGTACACTTCACCCACATAGGCAGAGTGGGAGGGTGAGGATGAACAGAAATCTGAACATTAGAAAAGCTTGTAAGCTGTTCCAAATACCATCTTTACAGGGTAACGCATCAAATCTGACAGTTGCCAATTATATTTAACTTTTAATTATTTTTGCCACTATCAGATTATTTACTGAACTCATCACCTCTGTGATCCCTTGCAATGTGGCTTCAGAAAAAGGGTGCAATTCTTTGTCAAATAGAATACAAGTTACATAGATCAGTATTGTTGCTATATCACTGTACTGAACCCTTGAAAGTATAACCCTTTAGTGAATTTATGCACAGAGTTAAATACGTAAGTTAGCAAGGTTACTCCATGAAAATAAGGTTAATCATGTTAGAATGCCTGGAGCCCTTTCTGTTTCATTTCCTACAGTGAGTGAAATAATGTGGGTACAGTTATTTTTAATTAGCTCAGTGCAGTGACACTTTCCCCATTTTAGCTATAGGTGTGGATAACAAAGTGTATATTCAGAATATTCTGAAAGGGAAATGTTTTTGTTGATTGATTTCACAAGAAGAGTATTAATTATAAAATCCTAGAAGCCCATTAAACATAAATATTAAAATCCTTGCAGTTTGCTAACAATAAAATCTATAATAATACAAGCATAATATGCTAATTAGACCAGACGTCCTTCCAGACGACCTTCTGGATGAAGCCAGGGATGCGAGGGAAGCCCGGGTCCCAGGTGCCAGAGGGAAGTTGGTGCCAGCAGCTGGGGAAAGGAAGGCCTACTCTTGCACAAATTTTGTGCATCGGGCCTCTAGTATTAATATAATCAGTTCAGACTCATTAATTAAGGACATGGATATGACTAAACAGTTATTTTTTACTCTATAAATTTTTTAGAAGAAAGTGTTAAGTAAAAAACTGCCAGTACTTAGTACTGGTATGAGAGTTTGTTTTAGTTTCACATGCTTATAAGCTAGAAAATTATTGTAATCCAGACGTTTTAAACTCAGTAACTGTGTATGTACAGCAGCCTGCATGCTTTTCTTGATAGGTGTGCCTATCATCTATCTTACTAGCCATTTTTCTTCTCCTTCCCAAACTCTTTTATTTAAAAAGACTTAGTTTAAGCTTCGCCTACTTGAGGACCCTTCTCCCCTCTATATTGAGTTAATTGTCTTTGTATCTTGATAGAACCTTGTGCTTAGTATTTGACAAATTGTTTTATAATCATTTGTTTTACTCCCAAACTCTCCTATAAGCTCTCCTAATACAGGTAGAGCATCTTTCACTTACGAATCTCCAGTGCTCAGCCCAATACTTGGAACATAGCAAGTGCTCAGTTTTTGTTAACTGGGTTATATAAATAAGAGAAGATAAAATAATCATTGTATAAACATTTAAAAAATGAATAATGCATTAGATTCTACTATTAAAATCTGAAAAGCAGAAAGTGTATATTCATTGCTATATTATTCACATCGTGTGTCAAATTATGTTTATTTCTTGATTTAGGAATTTTTTATTGGCAGAATTTGTGCTAACCGTACCAGAGTTTATCATAATCTGAAACATTTTAAATTCAAACTGTATCAAGAATGTTGCTCCATAGTAAATACAGAAAAACTTGAGGATGAAGAAGTTAAAGAAACAGTGGAAAGAATTTTCAATCATTCAAAAGAAAATGGCTGGATTAAGAAGGTAAGGTGGATATAGAATAACCCTCCCATTCAGTACACTCTGAACCAAATTATGAGCAGCAAAAGGATATCAATGATTAGAAGGCAGCGAAATTTAAAAGGGAATCTCTCCTTCTCTCCCCGTGTTTGCATTTTCTCTTTTTTTCACCCATTTCTATCATGCTTACCATTGTCCTACCCTGAATAGGTAATGTTCTAAGGCAGTCATTCAGCTCGTCGTAACTTTTAATCAGCAATAGCACTATCCCTCAATGGAGGCTTCCTGTCCTTTCACTTTCATAGATGTGTCATTGCTGACGTGTGTGTGTGTGTGTGTGTGTGTGTGTGTGTGTGTGTATCTATACATATCTAGATAGATAGATAGATAGATAGATAGATAGATAGATAGATTGCCCCTTCTTTTCTTTGCCAAAGTACAGGACTCACCTCTGCTTGTCTGCTTCCTATTCTTTCGAAAAGTTCTTGTGACCTGAGAGTGAAGCAGCCCCTGGTGCGAATGTGAGGAAAGGATCTTGGCTGCCAGGTCTACTGCCGCCCACATCCTCTTCTTGAGGACATGGGACTTAGCAGTGAGCGCTGCCCTGAAGGTTGAGGGGAATGCAGAGCTTTTAGGCCAGGGCACTGATTTTGCTCGCCCCACATCCTATTGATCATGAAACTTGGTACCAGGGATCGAGTGGAGGTTCTGAAGAGTGCACTGGATTCCTGGAGGTCTGCTGGCAGCTCTAAGCTCTGGCCTGCTCCCAGGGCTTCTAGACTTGTTGATGGTACACGCAAAGGATGCTCATAGGATTGAAATCTTTAAGACAGGCCTAGTCACATGAATGTGGGAGAGAGAACACATAGGAGATTTTCAGGCAGCTCAGATCAACAGTATATTTAATCTTTAAAAAAAAAAAGAAAGGCCTGACTTGAGACCCATTGCCGGAGTTATTTCTGTCGTAGGGGAATTTGTGAAAGAGGAAAAGGAAAAAGAAGGGAGCTCAGAGAACAAACTTATGAGCAAAAGGAAAAAGAGAACAAGAAAACAGGAACTTCTTAGGACGTGTGATGCTCCGCAGTCTCCAGGTCTGGAGGATGACATCAAGATGGGTTTCCCTTTTGACTTATCCTCCCACTACAAACCACCGCCCAGGGAATCTCTTTGCCGGCTCCCCACATCTTGACACTTAAGTCTTGCTTCTCTCATTCGACTCTTTCCAGCTTTTTGTCTGTTACGTTGCTTCTGCTTCTCTCACTCCCATTGCTTTCCTCCCTGTCTTCTGTGCTTTCCAGTTTGCTGTAGGGAGGAACCATCTTTTATCCAGGAAGTCCTGTCTTCATTTTCCTAGATGACATTAAAGCCTTAAGTGCTTTTATTGGTGCAGTTAAGTGTTGCCAGCCCTTCAGTGGAGTTGAAAGATCTATTGGGACAGCACATTTTTAAAGAATTGTCTACTAGGTGTCGAAAAAAATCACTGTGCCTGTATCATATTATTATATAATTATATATTTGGGAAGAACAATAACATTTTTGCAGAAAAAAACTAAAACTATTTTAAAATTAAATACCTTGGAGGAAGCTTAACAGGTTTGTAACAACAGAAGGGACCTAGAATAAGAAAAAATATTCTTAGAAAAAGAAAGCCAAGTGTCATATTCTGCTTAAAGAATAATACTCAGTGTTGGGCACGGATGGAATTTCAAAATCATACACATTTAGAACCAATGTGCACTTTTTTTCACATAAAATATCAAAGAGGCTCATTTTATTTTTGAGATTCCCTCCAACTTTAAAAATATTTGTCCATAGACTATCTCCAAAGATTTCTCCTGGAAACTAAAGAAGTTCATAGCCAACATAAACCCATGTGCAGCTTTCTGTGCTGTGCTTAAAGTCCCAATTGACACGGAGCTCTGACATTCTCAGCATCACTCTGCCCGCTCCTCAGTGTCTGTGTGTGTTTAGAGTGATGATGCCTCCTCCTCTGGCCACAGTTCCAGTCCAGGGCTCAGTGCTCCTTGAATGGTTATATATTTGTGGCTCTTCATGCTCCTGCCTCCCAATTATTATGTCAACCCCTTTTGCCTTACACAAACTGTTTGTTCCTGTCACCCCTCCCCGCTTTGCTCTTTCATCATCTCAGGATATTTCAGCATTTCTTCCTCAAAACCTGCCACCTAGACGGACTTTATTCTTCTTGTTTTTCCTCCTAACAGTTGAACTAGGAAGATTTACTTTTAACCTAATTACATTAAAGATTAGGAGCAACTTGAGTGTAAAAAAATGATTAAGTTGCCCAGCTGGTGTGGCTCAGTGGTTGAGCGTTGATCTATAAACCAGAAGGTCATGGTTTAATTCTCAATCAGGGCACATGCCTGGTTGCTGGAGTGATACCCCGTGTGGTGCATGCAGGAGGCAGCTGATCAATGGTTCTCTCATCATTGATGTTTCTCTCTCTCTCTCCCTCCCTACCTCCCTCTCTCCCTCTCTCCCCTTCCCTCCCTTTCCTTTATGAAATCAATAAAAGTATATTTTAAAAAGAGAAAAAATGATAAAATTATAATAAAACCAAAATATGTAATAAATATAATAGAAATATATGTCTCATTCTAAATTTGAGTGGAAGAACATACTATCATATGCCGTTGGCAGAATTCTAACAAATTTTTTTTTGTTAAGATGAAAGTGCATATGATGATGGGGTTTCCAGGGAAGTTGAACATAGTTGGGGTGGGGTGGTGACCACTTGAACACCAGAAAGTGAAGAAAATATGTCAATACAAGTATCAAGTTTCCATTTTACAGATGTATTTTAAGTAAATTTCAAATGTATTGCATAAATATGGTTACATAAATAAGAATTTTAAATTACGATTGGGTATCCTGCCCCTTCCCAAAACTCTTCTCACTTGTTCTCTTTCTTTATCCCTTTTTCACTTGAAAAGATTTTTTTGTCTTCTACTCCTTGAACTGATGCTTCTCAAAATGTGGCCCTAAACTGCCTGTCAGAATCACTTAGAAGTTGGTGAAAAATCTGTGGTCCCTTGCTTCACTGCAGACCTATTAAATGTGAATCCTCTGGGGATGTTAAAACCCAGTGGTTAACAAATTAGGTGATTCTTAGCAAATTAAAAATTGAGGGCCCCTGATTAAAAGTAAATGCTGCACTAGGTTCCCCCATTTCTTTTTTTGGTCAAACAGCTACTTCTTAGATGACACCAAACTTCCTTTTATGTTCTGAACTCTTTCTCATGCTTCTATTCCCATAATTCCATTAGTTTTCATCAGTAGGTCCATCTGGCACTGTAAGGGCTTGACATAATAAGAACAAAACTCCAAATTTTTAACAAAAATATAATAGTAGAGAGAATGAATGGCCAGGCAATGCTGCCTTCTCTCTGAGTTTCACGTTCCCTTTTTTTTCTTTTTTTCACACTGAAGCTGCACCCTGCCCTGTCCCCCACCCCATAAATCTCAGAAATAGCATACTATAATGGTTAAAAGCATGGATTTAAGTATTTTCTAGCAGCAGAATTTGGGAGCAAATTTCTTCACTTCTGTAAGCCTAAATTTTCTCTTCAGTAAAATAGGAACTAAATAATCATAATTAGAGTTTTGATTATGGAGATTAAATAAATAACACATGGTAAGCATTTAGTATAGGACCTAGGAATTAGTAAGTGGTCAGTGAATGTTAGCTAGTGTTGGTAATAAAAGCAAGGAGAGGTTTTCCTTCCTTAGTATAGCTCAGATAGACTATAACTTTCTAAAATTTAATAAATAAGAAAAAATATAACAATAATATGAAAAGCATAAAACCAGTCAAATATTTAAAGTATAGGCTTCTAATCCTAGAGAACTTTACTTATATCTAATAGAACCTGTCTGGGTACGAGGTGAAGAGAATCCCTACGTAGTCCGTAGGTTATTTCTGCTGTTCTTTTCGAGTCAGAGATCCTCGTGGGTTGGGGGAAGGTTCCATGCCCCTGTCTGGAACCTTCCATTTACTACAAAAGTCAGGGTCATCACCTCACTGGGAGAAGAATGAAAGTTCATAAGTAGAGTTAAGAAACCATTAGTCAGTTCATCTCCCACCTGAGGTAAGCACTGGGAACTCTATCACCTTGAAATCTCCGAATCATTCTGACCCTTTTCTCATTCGAACCTTACCTTTACTCTCCTTCATTGCTGTCACTCAGATGTGGGCCCTTATTACTTAAATTGTTGCAGTAGACTACTTGCCAAACTCTTCTAGAATGGATGTTTTACCTTAAAAAAAAAATGCCTTGGACCGTGTCAATCTTCTGCCTTAACACCTTTAATAACTTTCTGTGGCCGTCATACTAGTGCTGAGCTCCTTAACCCAGCATTTCATACTTTTATTTCCTGACCTCAGCTCTTTGGCTCAGTCTTCTCTCTCGATTCCTCTAAGAAAACCTGGTCATAGTAAAAACCCATACTTTGTCTTGTCACTGTTGTCTCCTACTGAACTCTCCCCACCAAACCTCTGCTACCAAATGGTTTTTCCCAGGACAGCTTCGATGCCACTCTTTCTGGTCACCTCAACTAACCATGCTCCCTCTTCTGAAGCCTCAGAACAGTGTCTGTCTGCTTTATGGCATTTGTTATTGGTTGTCATTGGTCTATTGCTACCGAACTCTGTTCTCATGAGGGGTAGGAATAGCAATTTTTTTGTACCTAGATTGTCATTAGCAGAGGATTTGATATATGTTATGCATTCAACAAATTTTTGAATAAATTATTGAAGTTATTACACTTCTACAATAAATATATTAAAAATACATAGTTTGCAAGAAAGTTACGAAATTAATAATAATGCTTTATGTGAGTTAGAAATTTAAAATTCAAATTTTTGTTCCTTTTTATATTAAAATATTTTTATTCATGATTACCATGAAATGAAATTGTTCCTGTTCCTGTTCCTGTTTGTAGATTGAAAAGGCCTAGCTTACCTCCATTCCTTTAAGTAAAATAACTAGTTTTTTTTTTATTGTATACACAGAAATATGGTCTACTTCAAAGATATCTCAATGATGCGGATTACTTTCAAGATGAGAAGTTTGCAATGTAACACCTTTTCTTCAGAGAAGATTTTATGAATTCCTATAGATGTGAAGATCATGAATATCGTTTCTCTGTATCATGTGACGTATTTATATATTTTCTGTATATCTTCATGGCAAAGTGTCTTGTTTAAAACATGTTCATCTTAATTTCCATGAAGTGGTACTCTACAGTCTAATAAACTTGTATCTGCTATGCATAGAAAACATAAGCCTAATCACTTTTAAATGTATTTTGAAGTTAATAACAATATCTTTATAACAGATGATTATCAATCAAGTGAATAAATGTTCATGTCCTGTCAATTTAATAGAAAAATACTGTATTTTTAAAATGTACTTAGACCAACATCAACATGTATGTATTGCTAATACCGACATGTATATATTGCTGATGAACATTAACATGTATGTATTGCTGAATTCCTGCCCAGATGTGTTTGTTATCCTATTGTCACTAATATATTTTTTACTGCTATCATGTAAATCAGGTGGCCATGGAATAGACCTTAGTGTTTCACTCAGTTCAATGCCCTTGCCTCAGAGTCAGACTATAGTAATTTTTTCTTTTTCTAAAGTTTCCCTTAGAAATAATTTTCAGGCCTCCAGAGTTTTAATCCTCATATTCAGGAATCATTTCATAATATGTATTTTCATGCTTCGCAATGTTTTCCTTTTTTCTGTTCAATTTTGTCTATGTGTTAATGATTAAGATGTATTTTATTGCTTTTTGACAATAATTTTATAATATAACTATTTCTGTTAGGATCAGAAGATCTCAGAGAGATACATTCAGCCAAGTATATTTTAAAAGTATACTTTGGCATCTGCATTGCTTTGCACATCTAAATTTATCCATAATTTAATAAAAGTAAAATGGCTTCAGAGTGAACAAATGGACTATCTGTTTCTTTAATTCCTAAAAGTGATGTTCCAGCAAGTTCTACTTTACTGTAATTTTAGATACTTGTTTCTTCAAATGTTGGTTGAACCTGGCTTCATTATGTGGTTCATTTCATGGACTTCAGTGTAGCTGCATACATAAAATGCTAAATGTTATTTAGTCCTTTCATCAAGATGACTTAATATTTTCTGCAATTTTTTCAAATTATTCCTATTATTGTAAACAAAACAGGTAGGTAGCAAAAGCTCACAAAGTGGTGAAAATACCGATGCTGATGTCTCATGTGAGGAGTCCAGACCTTATTGCTGATGTGTGAGGTCATTGCAAATGAGCAAGCTTCTTCAGTAGGTGTTTGGAGAGAGAATACAAGAGGCTTTTAGTGCATGATACAGCCAACATGACAAAGACGACAGGCTGTTAGGAAATAAGAATTAGTATGGATTAGGGAGCCAAAAGCAAGAATCTATAGAAAACCAGAAATGTTGAAAAATACAATTAACTTTTATAGGTATTATGACATACTATATTATTTTTATCATCATCATTGTTATCATTCTTCAATATAACACTAAAAAGAAATAGTTTGTAAACTTAAAAATCTCACATGCCTGTGAACTTTTCAGATTTGGGCATTTATTACTGTAGTGTTAGATGCTTTTGTGTTAGGTAGCTATGGATAGTGGAGATGATGAGAAAGACAGAATGGACAAAAGGGAAGTAATGCTTGAAAGAATGTATAAGGTTATGCAGACGCTTTAGGGTTATAAGCAGGGAAAGCACCGTAAAAAGGGAAAAAAACATAATTATTGATTTTATGGGGAGTTGGTTGTAATTGACCAATTTTGTCTGCTCTCATATTTTAGATGAGTAGTTCTATTCACTACTCATTTCTTGGCGGTCTTATAGGACTTGCTTAGACTCCAGCATGTTGATTGAGGTGTAATTGCAGCCCTTGAGCTATTTTGGGGATAGTCTGGCTTCCCTGTAACTCTTTTCACACTTGGTACTGAAGCAGTAAGCCCAGTGGTTAAGAAAGCATAAGTTGAAATCAGTCTTGAGTTCAAGTCCTAGTCTGTTTTTCCCAGTTACATGTGCTGGAACAAGTAGTTTAATCCCAATGAGCCTCGTTTATAAATGGGGTTAATAATACCTATCTTTCTGGATTGTTTGTGTATTAAGGGAGATACATGCAAAGCCCTGTGCCTGAAACAGTGATTGTAAAGAAATAGTAACAGATGTGGAGGATAATGATGTCAGCTTGAAATTAAGTGGTTGTAAAGGATAAATGTGTGAGAACGACACCCTACAGAATGTCCTACACCAGTGGTCGGCAAACTGCGGCCCCTTGAGTGTGGCTCTTCCACAAAATACCACAGGCAGGCGTGCATGTACAGTGCGATTGAAACTTCATGGCCACACTCAAGGGGCCAAAGAGCCACATGTGGCTCGCAAGCTGTAGTTTGCCGACCACTGTCCTTACACCACTGAATAGAGAATGAAAATGTGTTAAACTCTTGCTTGAGAAGTTTTTAAGATGTCCCTGTGTAGCATGGAAATCAAAGTTGACATCATTTAGGAATAGTGGACTTGACCAAGGATTTGTGTTATTACTCAAAACCCATGCTACTGCACGCTAGAGTGAAGAGTGTTAAATTTAAATATTACATGTTTTCTCATTTATCAAATATAGTTGTTGAATACAAAGTATCCATAGTACCAGAAAAGAGAATGTCTAATGAATACGTCTTTTAAAAAATCAAATATAAAATGATCAAAACTCCTTCACTTTTTATCGAGACCACCTGAAAGAGTTCTCCATTCAAATTTGCATACCAACCAAGATAGAGTTCTCACTTTCTTCACAGAGCAGTGAGGAACTTAGCCTGTGAAGGACAGAGAGAAATATGTTCCAGGGAAAAGTATAAAAGTTATATTCCATCAGAGTGTACTTGTCCTCAATACCAAACATTCCCAGATTTGTGGAAATAAAATGGACTAAAGTAGGCCAGCTTATCTGGAACTAACTTGTAAATAAATTGCCTTTAAATGTTGGCATTGATTTTACCCACTCATTTCTATGCACATCTCAGTCTGAAGCAGGACCATGTTACTGTGATACCAGAGTTGGTGTAAATAAAGCACCATTGCTTGAGGCTTCAAATCCAATGACTTCCAATGACAGAGTAATTATGGCCCCCACCGTCCCAATATTGTGTTCACTTTAACTTGTCGTCCATAGCTAGTAACGATGAGCAGAATTCAATGTATAGTTTGGGATCTTAAAGGTAGGATCACCTGAAGATGAGGGGACATTAGCCTGTGTGAGAGACCTGTCTGGCTTGTGTCCTTCAACTTCTGGAAACTCACCTGCTACAACACATTGATTTCCCTCCTGACATATGTAAACCAGATAGCCATGCATTGGTGCCATTGGCACGCTTGTAGTTTCACGGAAAATCTTTCTTTTTTCTTTTCCAGAACGAGTATTGGTAATTTCATCCTAAAATATTTTGTTGGTCTACTGGTTTGCTTGTGATCACCCAGGCCCAGAGGCACACAGGAAGGTAGACAAGATACCTGCCTGCCTGTAGGAGCTGTGGGTGTGATTTCCTCTCCTCTCCACCCCGCTCTCCCCCCCGCCCCCCCCAAACCCCCGCACGCACGCACACGGTGCTCACCCCGCTCTGGCTGGGTGCTCAGGGGTGTCATTGACAACATATTGAAAAATGAAAATGGTATTCTCAGGGGTGGGGGGGGCATAAGGTAGGTCCGAGAGGGAAAATACATCCCCTGGCCGGGGATTTCTTAAACATTTACAGCTGATGAAGTAGTTGTGCAGAGGTTAGGGAATTTCCCGGGCCTTACCCCTCTGCCCAGGCTGGGGCTGGGGCTGAGGCTGAAGCCGAGCTGAGCGCGGAGACACGCAGGCCTGGGATTTACCTCTTCAGCCACTGGGAGGCCCTCTGCGCCCCCTTTCCCCGGAGCCCGGCGGCAATTACTCGTGCAGTGGCACCAGCCTTCCACCAGGGAGCCCGGATTCGCTCTCCTGCCCGCCCCTCCGCCCCCCTCCGTCC